ATTCTAAGTGAGTAGTTGTTAATAATCATTTTTTACAATAACTTCTTTTAAATTTACATAACATTAAAACTGACGTGAATCAATTAAAATTATTACTGCTTTAAATAACATTTATTTTTTTTTTCTAATAATTTTCTTATTTAGCGAACCAGAGGCACAAATAATGAATTATATGACTCAACAATACAAACTTTTTCCAAATTTGGGAATGTTTTTTGCAATTACTATTGCTGCTGATTGGATTTGGGATATGTATAACAATGTAACTGCTGAATTGCATCAGGGTGAACTAGAAAGACTACCAGAAGTATGTTTTTGATAAATATTATATTACATTAGATGTGTCAACACACACACACACATATGAATATTGAAAATTAGAGTGGACTATTAAAGCATTGTCTTTTCTTTTTTTTTTTTTTTATTCAAGTTACATGCACTAGCATGTTGCCTTAAGGCAGTATCTTCATCCGATGGTGCAAGAGCAATCGAAGAACTTCGACTTTCTTGTGGTGGTCATGGTTATATGGATTCTAGTAATTTACCTGCAACATATGGTTTAGTAACAGCAGCATGTACTTACGAGGGTGAAAATACTGTATTACTTTTACAAACAGCAAGATATTTATTGAAAGTTTGGAGACAAGCTGTTAAAGGTAATCGGTTACCACCTACAGTTGAATATTTGTACGATTTTGTACATGGAACTAAACAAAAAAGTTGGGACGGTAGTTTAACGTGTATCGTTGAAGCTCATCAAGCGGTAGCTGCAGGGTAAGAATATAAATCATAAGAATCTCTCTCTCTCTCTCTCTCTTTCTCTCTCATTGTCATTTATATAAATAATAATAAATAAATTGTTGACTTACGGTCTCGAGAGAGCAGACCCTCGCAACCGGCTACTCTCAGCGTATATAATTGCCTAAGTTATATTTCTTGATCGAAAGATCTTCAGGGTAGGATGATCAGTCCTACATCCCATTGTCATTTATATATAATATAATATTCATACAGATATACTATATGAAATATTTCATCAATTGATTTGTGTGTTTTTAATAGAAAAATTCATTTGGCTGTACAAAACATGGATCGTAGAATAAAAGGAGGTTGTTCACCCGAAAATGCCTGGAACGAAACTAGTATCGAATTAATGCAAGCAGCCGAATCGCATTGTCGAGTTTTCTTGGTAACCGGATATGTTAAAAAGATCAAAGAATTGAATACATTATCAAAAGAATTGCGTACTGTATTACAACAATTGTGCACGTTGTATTGTATCTATTGGGTATTACAACGAACGGGTGATTTCTTAAGAGTAAGTTAAACGTTCTTTTTTTTTTCGATATTATTCTTTTTTAAATAATCCGTATACTTCATAAAATATGAATTAACTAATCATTTTATCTTGTAGTTTTCTAGTTTAAAGAAAGAAAATATACCAAAACTACAATTACATCTCGAAGAAATGTTAAAAGCTATTCGTCCTAATGCTGTAGGTATTGTTGATGGTTTTGATTTACATGATGATGTTCTTGGATCAGCTTTAGGGGCATACGATGGTAACGTTTATCAACGTCTTTTTAATGAAGCTATGAAAAGTCCATTGAATCAGGAACGTGTAAATGAATCTTTCCATAAATATCTGAAACCATTCTTTAAAAGCAGATTATAGCATACATATATATATATATATATATATATGTATTTGTTAAATTTATTCATTAAAAGGGGGAGTATGATTTTGTGTTAAATAAATTTGTTCGGTAAATAAGTGGAATGATTGAATGTTATAAGAATAATGTATACATCATGCGCGTAAATATTTAATATTAATATTGCAAAATGGGGTACACAGAAACGTAAAAAGTAAGATGTTAACAAAAGAAAAAATAATCATGTTAAAAGAAGATTTATAATTGTATGTTATTATTTATACACACACACACACATATATATATATATATATATATATACATATACTTACTATTCTCTTGCAAAGAATTGTCTTCGAATTTTCTATGGTGCTATAATCAACGTATTACTATATATATATATATATATATATGATCTTATTATAAGACAAAGATGATTATTTTTCTATGTATTTTTGGTAAATTTTTATCGTGATGAAACAATAAAGATATAATTTTTTTTAAATAATTCCACAAATTTCCCTTTTTTTCTTTTCTTTTCTTTTCTTTTCTTTCTTCCTTTTTTTTTTAGACTTGACGTTCTTATTAATTCAACAAATATGTCGGTAAATAATATATATGTATATATATATTAAATAAGTCCCTAAGATTCTTACAGAATACAATATTTATTTACAGAATAGGAGCGACGACATACATTGTTTAATTCGTTATCATACTAATTACGATAATATTAATAATAATAATAATTCTCTGTTAATAATGTCAATGAGCTAATTAAAATTTAATAATTAATAATTAATAATAATATCATCATATTATATGTACGCAAACTGCGATAATCCGTTCAGAAATTCTGTCTTGTTATCATCGTACATATGTGCTGTTATAATACATTGTACTTGGGCAGGAATGTTTAAAAGGCAAAGTTCACTTTGTTTTTTTTTTGTTTTTTCTTTTTTTTTTGTTTTTTTTTTTTAATATTAAATCTGAGATAAATAATAATAAAAAAAAATTATTATGTGGTCAATGCTCGCGGTTAAATATATGCGTACATTATTTTTATATGCGTATACATATACATATATATATATATATATATATATACTACATATATTTTTCATTTTGAAAGTGCGTATGCGTATACCCTATACAGGGTGGTAAAGAAAAAGGGTTCGATATTTGAAGAAAAATTAAATTAATCAAAAGGGTTGATTTTAGGACCCATGTTAAACTTTTGTTTTTTACTTGTTTCGGTGAATATTATAAGTCCTTCAAATATCGAACCCTTTTTTTTTTATTATCACTCTGTATTGGACATATATATGTATATATACATATATATATATATGTATATATATATATATATATATATATATATATGTGTTTACGTGCTTAGTTTATATGTTCAGAGGGCAAATGGGAGCACAGAAACAATACTTACACTTAAAAAATAATATTTGTGTTAATTAATATTTATCATTAAATATTAATATTAATTAGATTCATTCTTTTAAAATTATTATTATCATTATATTATTATTACTCTTACAATTAACTTTATTAGTATTGTTATTATTATTATTATAATTATTATATATATATATATTTATTATTATTATTATTATTATTATTATATATATACTTATTATTATTATAATATATTTATTATTATTATTATTACTATTATTATTATTATTATTCTCATCCATCCGCTTGGCCTATGTGATTTTTTTTCTTTTTCTTTCTCTCTTTGTAATGTTTTTTCTTGTATTTTATTTTATTTTTTTTTTTTCGTTTTTTTTTTTCAACTGTTATAGCGAGTTCTTATGGAATAGTTTATCTTATAAAATATGTTATTTTAATTACATACAATTATTCATACTTAATTAATTAATAAATTATTTTTAATAGACAATGTCCTTCAAGTATTGCAATGAAACGTGTGTTTTTATATGCGAGCTTGATGTTAAAAAAAAAAAAAATGATATATAATTGCAACGTTTATCCTATCACTTTTTCTTTGCTCGTATTTCATTTGTTTGTTTTGTTCTTTGTTTTTTTTTCTCATAGCCTCACCTTTTTCTTTCGTCGTCGTTTTTTATTGTATCTAATTTTAAACGAAGATGATAATATATATTTTCGCAATTTCTCTTACAAGACGAAGGATTAAACGCCATTTTGGGTAGATAAATTTGTTATTGCGAATAACGCCTCTTATATGCGAATAATTAATTATTATTTAATTAATACAATTCTTTTTTTTTTTTCTATGTATACACACACACACACACGTACACATGTATATGTAGATATATACATATATATTTTTGTGTGACAATTATTACATCGTATAAATATTACGAATCAGTTTCAGGTTCCTCTTTTATTTTAATTTTATTAAATTATCTCTCGTATGTTTGTTTACGAACAAATTAAATTAATTTAATTAGTAAAAAAGCTTCTTTTTTTTATTTTTTAATTTTATTGTTTCTTTTAAGCTTAATAATAACAACAAATGCGTGTGCGTAATTTAAAAAAATAAATATCAAGAATTTTACCATCATGTTCCGGTACTCAACAAAAGGATTTTTATCTTAAGATTAATTTGAATTTTTTTTTTTTTTTTTTTTTTTAAAAGAACCGCCAAATTTGTGCGCGAATTTAAAAAAAAATATTTTTCTTTTTTTTTAATGAATATATATAATACGTTCATCAAAATCACAGAGTAATTTATCTAAGAAATGTATTTCCTTCAAAGAAGAAACAAAATGAAGAACTTTAACGAGCCTGAAACCATATATGCAATGATAATAAATATATAATTGACGGATTTAATAAAAATTACTTGTTTACAAATTGATTAAGATTAATATACTACGTGATCATTGTGTTGATTTGATTTGATTTGACTAATAATGGACGACACATTTATATACGAGTAACGGTATTAAGGCGGGTTTGTGTAAGTTCGTCCTAAATTGTTAAACTTTGTGTAATATAATGTAATATATAATACAATATTAATGTAATATAATTTAATATAATATAATATAATATAACATGGCAGTACCGGCATGATATAGATTATACATTAGTTTTCTACTTAATAATTTATCTCTCTCTCTCGTTTCTTTCTTTCTTTCTTTCTTTCTTTTTCTTTGTTATTGTTTTTTATTATTTTCTTTTAAATATTATTACATTCGCATATTTTCAATATTAATTAAACGACACGTTCTCGAATTTGTTTGCGAAAAACTTCTATTGTTTTATTTTAATTCTTTTGAAATATTATTATTATTATCATTATATATATATATTTTGTTTGAAATTATTTCATATATTAAATTCATGTATATATGTATTCTTTTAAATTTTGGTTATTTACGACAAATCGCGGATAAGAGTTTCGAATGAACGAGTAAAAATTGTCAAAAACTTTGTTAAATCTAATCCTTGATCGGATTTGTTTAAAACAAAAACAAAACAAAAAAAAAAACAAAAAAATCCACATAATAAAATTTAAAACGATTATCAGAAGAAATAGATTTTTGGTCCTATGTTTTAATAATAATAATTAATTATTATTCTCGAGAATTTATCATGTTTCGTAGTTCATCAAAACAAACAAACAAATGATTTATAATTTTTCAAATTATTCTTATCATTGTCGTTGAGTGGAAGAAAGAAGCTACGCCATCTTTCCATTTGTTGCGCGG